TGAAACATTGCAGTATTTATAGGTGTGAGCATGTGTGAAGAATGCTCTCATTTGTTACACGTTGATGTGAGCACTAGTGTGTGTTTGTTTGCATGTGTGTGTGTGTGAGAGGGCTTTTTTTGGTGATGATTGACAATTTCAGACGCCATGACATGTAACCTGCAGTGTTGATGGGAAGGGAGGCAGCGGGATTAGAGGTTGACTCACTCCTGCTGTTTGAACTTCACAAACATCTAATTTCTCCCCCTGTTATTTCCTAGACTCCTTTTATATTTGTGTGTCACCTATTTCCGTAGAGAAGTGTTTTCTCATCCTGACCTCTGTAAAGTGCACAGTTTAGAGCGGTGTATGTTTGGCTAATATTGGAACTGTGGGCATCTGCAACTCACAAGGTAAATGGGCGTCTACCAATCAGAGGGTCAGTGGTTCAATCCCTGCAGTCCACATGAATAAGGGTCCTTAGGCAAGATGATGAACCCCAAATAGTTCCTGTAGGCATGTTTACGGTTTTGAAGTGAATGTATGAAGTTGTTTTGGATGAAAGCATTATCTAAATGACATGTAAGGGTATTTCAAATAATCCAAAACATGAGACCAAGAGTGTGTGTATACATATTTGAGTGTGTAGGCCACATCAGTGTGACTTTGTGGGGGTTGCTGGAGTGCCAGCTGTCATAATGTGAGAGGGATTATGGTAAGAAGAACTATGAGACGGTAAGGCTAGGATGGGACATGAAATCAGGTTAAGAAGCTGTTTTGCTACCATATTTTTATGTCGACCCATGACATATTAGGCCTTCCTCACACCCTTTTGACACGCACTCTTCATTTTTAGACACCCTGTGGTATTGTTTGTGTATAGTATATGGTAGGCTTGCTACACGTCTTTCCACCCTGCCTCACATCTCTGAGCCGCCATCAGAAAAAAGGAGTTAATACAAATCCTTTTGAGGAATTTACACAAACATAATTATTTATTTAGCTGGTTAAACCCACATAATTCTCCTATCAGCTGTGGCAAGCTGCTTCCACATGTCCCCCATACATGTGCTGGGATTAACAAAGCTGCCTGCATAGGAAAAAGCCTGTGTGTGGTGTGTGTGTGTGTGTGGTGTGTGTGTGTGTGGTGTGTGTGTGTGTGTTACGGTGTGTGTGGTGTGTGTGTGGTTGTGTGTGTGTGTGTGTGTTGGTGTGTGTGTTGTGTGTGTGTGTGTGTGTGGTGGTGTGTGTGTGTGTGGTGTGTGTGTGTGTGTGTGTGTGTGTGTGTGTGTGGTGTGTGTGTGTGTGTGTGTGTGTTGTTTACTGTTGTATTGTAGATGCTACCAAGGTGCAGCTGTTTTTGCATACAGTATGTGCAGACAAAACAAAGGTGATTACAAAATGCTTCTGCTAGGGTTGGGACCAACAGTAATAGGGCAGGGGTATATCAGCGTTTTATAGAATTGTTTGGCTACTTATAGTTTTCCTCAATATATAATCTGCACTTCTGGTTGGTAACAAACATTTTAAATCTGATGCAGAGTATTTGCCAGGCTTAGCAAATCACCTCCTCCTCAAATTACACTGTGACTCGTACTGTATAGGCGTGGCGCAACCAAGAGCCAAGAGTGCTTTCTTCTGGATAAGTGCTATAGCTGTATGTCATTTGGCAGCTGCTATTACCTTTTTATGTGAATGGTCCAGTTTAAAACTAACTATAAGTAGAAATAAGATGATTATATTACACATTTATGATTATTAACCTTTAAAGCGACTGGTGCGTGGGCTTTAAAATTGACGTAGACTGCTCCAGTGCTCCAGTTCCACATATTGTACATTACTGATCACTCCATATGTCTTCAATCAGTTGAACTTTATCTATAATGATAATGGTATCGCAATAATATTGGTATTGTTACGAGTCAGAAGGAATTTCAACTCCCGACGGTCTCACTTACGGCTTGTCTTTAGCTGTGTCTCACTCCTGTGGCAAATGTCTTGCTCTGTTGCCGTGTTTAATTGGCAGATCTGTCAGCTTTGCATAAATCTTTGTAAATTACATCGCCCTTATCTCATCCCAAAGATGGGCCCTTGGGGTCGCTTGATTCCATCCAATGGCTCAGCCAGTGGGGCATGGCGGGGAAATGACTCGTAATTGGAGGCAGCTAAGGGTCGTCACCCCCTGACACACACTCAATAAACAGCTCTGAGCTTTATACTCCTAAGCCCCTTTCTTTCTTTACGTTCCTCCGTGGCACATTTTCACACCACACTTACCCATTCATGCATTTTCTCCTTACTCCTCCATCTCGCTCTGATTCACCAAATGTCTATTCTTTACTCCCAATTCTCTATAAATGTTTTTTGTTGATGGTCTGTTGCTCTGTTCAATCAATGCAAAGGACTTCAGGATTGTGTCTGCAGATGAGGTGTGTGTCTGTGTGCGTTAGTGCATGTTATTACAGTCGGAGGCTGACAATATTGTAGAAATGCAGCACCTGCCATGGCTGCCTGCAGTAGCATCAGACTACATTCCTCCAATTGCCTTAAAAATCTCCGCAGACTCACAACATTGAACGTGCAACACTGGTGGCAATGAGTTGATCAAAGAGAATATCACAACTTTGATAAAGTCTGCATCTGCATGTATAACAAAATGATTGTGAAACTTGTATGCAGATACGGCAACTGTGTGTTCCTAAAGTGAGTATAGTCAAATACACCTATAGGGCATTTTGATCATATTTGGTTCTGAATTGAGCTTTTAATATTACAAATAAAAGAATGCCATATACTGCAGGTTTAACACATCGGCTTCACACCCTTTTAAACTACCCAGAAGAGAGTAGGAAAAAAAAGGATGTCTTTGGCTGAATCTGACAAGCCATCTCAGAACAATGGAGTTAATAAATGTGTATTGCCTCTGGTAAATAAATAACATACTTTATGCAATGGTCTGATATACTCTGCAATGTGGAAAAGACGTTCACATCTTTTTAAGTGATTTATTATGTGTAAGCAGGGACTTATTTGTTATGTAGGTATGTTATCATGCAGTGGAGACGCACACATTAGCTCATCGGCATACAGTGTGTGCTATGATGTGATTTAATATGGGAGAAAGCAGGACTGCGTGCACTACAATGAGAATGGCCTTTTCACCTCTCAGAAATACACTGTTAATATTTCAGGCAGCATGCTTTTATCTGCAGAATCTCAGATGGCTCTCCTAGTTTTGTGTAAATACACACAGACAAGCACTTGTTTGATTGTGTTACAGTCATCATTATTGTACCTAAGCAGTCTCCAGGCCAGTGGATGTGCCGTGCCTGCTCTGGATCCACTCTGATGCTTTGGATTTTGCTCTGAAGCTAAAAGAGGAGCTGCTAAGCACAACTGTCAAAAGTAGTTCTGTCAAGGGCAGAAATTCTCCTCCAGGTCTACGGCTTCCCTACCTCCAACATCACCATGTGGAAAGACACATTTCCTTTCACCTCTTCTCTTTCTTGTGTTATCTCGTTTTTTTTTATTTCATTACCTATCTCCCGTCTGTCTTCCTTCATGTCCTGTCCCTCTTCCCTTTCAAACATCCCTCTCACTTCACACTTCCGTCATCTTTCCTCCCCTCCTGATGCTATTTTCTCCTCTCTCTGCTCCCAGGCTCTCCTGCAGCCAGCGGCACGGGCACTCTGCAGATCTATCTGATAGATATTAATGACAACCCCCCAGCACTCATACCCAGGGAGTCTCAGATCTGTGAGCGGGTGAACAAGAACGTCCACGGGGTCAACATCACCGCTGCCGACGCCGACACAGAACCCAACGCTGGACCCTTCGTCTTCGAGCTGCCCAACTTCCCCGCCAGCATCCGGCGCAACTGGACCATTTCTCGGATCAGCGGTGAGGAGTGTGAACGTAGAACCCCGACATTAGAGAACATGTGAACATTCATTTATGATACGTTTTACAGTGGCAATGTTACAATTAGTACAAAACATAGTGTAGCATTAGTCTAAACATTTAATACTAATCTTTATCCATTATTTTATAAACTAACTTTTACCTAAATCTCGTCAGATGCCTCTTATAAAACTCCTTCTTGCACATGTGTACTATTACTGTACTGTATTATACTGAAGTTATTAAATATGGTAGGAGTATGGGCGATTATTAAATACTATCAAGTTTAGGTTATGTATGTAACTTATTATGTTATGATCATATATGATATATTATTACACATTTTTTTTAAGATTATATATTTAATTTCTTGTTATAATACTGTTTCCAAATTCATGATTTCCAGCAAATTGCATTGTAAATCAACATTTAGTTTGTTTTATACGAGTAAAAGATTTGTGATTATGTAATGGGGTGCTGTGCATGAGATTTCCTAAACACTTGCCATATCGGGTATATTGATATAACATTTAAAAAACATTCAAATTAATAACGTGACAATGATTTCAAACGTGTTGCCTAGTCCTATGTGGAAGCATGTTTTATGTTTTGGTCAAGAGAAACCTATTTGAAATGTGATGCTTATATTGTAGTTTTTTTATAATAAATGTGAATATTAGTTACATCTTGTAACTTTTCCCTTTCCTCTCTTCTCTGCACAGGTGACTACGGCCGCCTTGGCCTGCGGTACCAGATATATCTAGAGCCCGGCGTGTACGAGGTCCCTGTGATCGTGTCGGACTCGGGGAACCCTCCGATGTCCAACCGGTCCGTCATCAAGGTGAAGGTGTGTCCCTGCGATGAGCACGGAGACTGCACCACCCTCGGAGCTGTGGCCGCCGCCGGCCTGGGGACGGGAGCCATCATCTCCATCCTCATCTGCATCATCATCCTGCTCAGTGAGTATGAGCTGCTCACATCCCACCCACTGACACCTCAGAACTTCCAGACATGTCACACACACACATATATACATGCACTAAGGTAAAAGTTAAGTCTGCTTGTGATTTGATTCTGCCAAAAAGAGTGCATTCCAAGGTTCAGTCATTAAACATTCACCAGACTGTGATACAGCAACATGAACAATAGTTTGTATAATGGATTAATGCCTCCACTGCTGCACTCTTCTCCAGCATCTCCTGACAAGCAGGTTTCTGTCTTCTTTTCCTGGTAGGGCGTGTATCTGCTGTTATCTGTTATGGCTGGTTATTCATGCCGCTGGCACACTTTGATGCCATGGGACACATTATTCAAACATACAGACGTCCTGTTGACAAACTGAGTGGCTGCTGCAGGGTTCTATAGCATATTTAAACTGTTGGATGTTGTGACTGGATTATACTGTGTGTGAATGATCCATCCTTCATTATTTATACTACACTAAGTTTTGGAAGTGATTCACATTTTATTTATTTTAAAGTTTATTTGACCAAGTAAAGTTTTACATTTCTCTCTCAAGGAAGACCTTTGTAATTCATTGTTCTAAGAAATGTAACAATGCTAAAACCAGAAAAAAAAGACTCCCTATATGTAGGGAATTACATTTTGTACTGGTTTTAGGGGAAATATCTCAACTAATAAATTGAACTCCATCCAATTATTATACACACATAATATAATATCCTCCTCAGGATATTGCTAACAACATGCTAAATTAAATTGCTGAACATGGTAAACGTTATACCTGCCTAAGATCAGCACGTAGCATTGTCATTGTTAGCATGTTAGCATGCTCACCGAAGCATTTAGCTCAGAGAACCACTGCGCCTAGGGTTAGGGACTCATCACACTGTGTGTGTGTTGTCGCAGGCATGGTGCTGTTGTTCGTGTTGTGGATCAAGCGCAGAGAGAAGGAGAGGCACACCAAGCAGCTGCTTATCGACCCTGAAGACGATGTCAGGGACAACATCTTAAAATACGATGAAGAGGGGGGAGGAGAGGAGGACCAGGTAAGATCCTGGGAGACAGACACCCATACACACACTTACTTTGTTGACCTTCATGCTAACCTACATCTATGTGTGTGTGTGTGTGTGTGTGTGTGTGTGTGTGTGTGTGTGTGTGTGTGTGTGTGTGTGTGTGTGTGTGTGTGTGTGTGTGTGTGTGTGTGTGTGTGTGTGTGTGTGTGTGTGTGTGTGTGTTGTGTGTGTGTGTGTGTGTGTGTGTGTGTGTGTGTGTGTGTGTGTGTGTGTGTGTGTGTGTGTGTGTGTGTGTGTGTGTGTGTGTGTGTAGGACTACGACCTGAGCCAGCTGCAGCAGCCTGACTCCTTGGAGCACATCATCAGCAAGCCGCCGGGCGTCCGCAGGGTGGACGAGCGTCCCATCATCCCCGAGTCCCAGTACCCAATCAGACCTGTCGTGCCCCACCCTGGAGACATCGGGGACTTCATCCACGAGGTGAACTCACACACACACACACACAGCGGACACACAGCGGACACACAGCTCTCCCACAGCGAGCCGGCCTCTCACTTCCACTTCCCATCGATCTGATCTTAATGTGATTACTCATTTCTGGACGCTGTTCAATATGTAAACTCCAGGATGGTGACGGGGACAGCTTAGAGTTTTGTTTTACTTTACCGCTGCTCTCACGGCACCGGCTTTATTCACACACACACACACAACTGCACCGTTGGCACAGTGATGCGAGAAAATGCTGATTGACAGACTCGTGACAACACGTTCACACTCGAGAGGTGTTGGCAGCTGTTCAGCTTTGATCCATCCAGCCTTGACTCTGTATATATTTATAAATATATCTCTCTCTCTCTCCCGCTCACACATGTACTCACCTGATCTCGCTCCAGCAGTCTGGTAAAACACCAACACAGCAAACACATGGTGTTCCTGCCACGCACTGTACCCCTGGGGGTTGATGCTTTTTAGGTTTCCAGCCACAGCATCTCTGTGTATTTCTGTGAAATGGATGAAGTCCACCTGCCTAACCTTCAGGACAATAACTCTCATTTGTCTTTCCAAAAACATGAACAGGTTTGCGCACCGACAGAAACAGGTCTCTTAAGATCGTATTCATAAAGGGGAACAACATATTGATATATTGGGTTTGATAAAACCGAGAAGCCAGAATGAACTGGATAATGCATCCTGTTCGTTCTGCTTTTAATAATTGGAACACCCACATTATACAGACCCTACATTTGATACAGAATAAATGTTCAATGGGATTATTGTGATTGTTTCTGATGCAATGCTTGTGTGTGATTGGCTGTGTGTCTCATATCTGTTTTATTTCCTCTGCTGTACTCAGGCCTTTAAAAAGAGATTCCTGAGAAGAGAATACTTTATAAAATAAAGGCTGTAATAATTTAAGTCTTCTGAGCCTAACAGGGACCTGCCTTATGAAGCCTGTTGTGATTGAACTATGTATCCAAAGTTAAAGAGAAGTATCTTGTTGAATATTTTATTTTAGAACTAAATTATAAGGACAAAATGTTCATGCTGGTGTGAGATTAGATGAGATTCAACTTTAGTATCATGGCACAGAGTAAAAGTACTATCACAACATAAAGCAGTACAAATGCACAACTTTTTGATATGACGTATTTCCAAAATACGTCCATGTACAATGCCATGTCTCCTTTATTAAACTCTATACAGTATATGTATATATACAGTATGATGTATTGCCTACAGCAGAATTCTGAGGTATTGAGGCATTACCATGTTATGTTACTTTATACCTCTACTATCCAGTCATATCATACTTTGCGTAACCCTACGTTTTATTGACTACAGATGACAACTTGAGATTTTGCATACAAACATCAACTTTTAAATTAGTAAGCATTGTTGCAGATTAAACCATCAATTAGTGTATATAAAGAAAACAATCTGCTTCACGATGGCCAGCTGCAGCAAAATGAGCATTTGCATTTTCTAGAGCTTTACCCTCTCAGAAGGCTTCAGGACATTTTAGCCTCAGCTTCATCACTTGGATACTAAATTACTGGAGTTGTCTTCCAACAACTTCTGGGTTTTTCAACCTTTTTTACATTATTTTCTCCACTGCAGACCTGTGAGTACTGACCCCTCCCTCCCCTCCTCTTCTTCATGTGTAGGGTCTGCGAGCGGCGGACAACGACCCCACCGCCCCCCCCCTACGACTCCCTGCTGGTGTTTGACTACGAGGGCAGCGGCTCCACCGCCGGCTCCGTGAGCACCCTCAACTCCTCCAGCACGGGGGACCAGGACTATGACTACCTAAACGACTGGGGCCCTCGCTTCAAGAAGCTGGCCGACATGTACGGAGGAGGCGACGATGATTAAATAGTCACATATCAAACACACACACACACACACACACACCCTCGTCCCGTCAGCTGGCCTGCCATGCTCTGTCTCTACAACACATGGAGCTCTTACACCCTTACTGAACACGAGTTAACAATGACATGTTCCCACTGACCAACCAACCAATCCAGATTCCCCCCCGCAGAGGTCCGGCGGCAGGATTCTGTTTCCGGGCTTTTCTCAACCGTCTCCTGCTCTAAGCCTGCAGAAGAAACTCTGACTTGCAGGATCTGTTTGTATTTTCAAACGCTTGTGCTTTCTTTCCTTCAAAGGTTTTGTGCTAGATATAGATTTTAGTTTTGGGTAGTCAGATTTTGTTTTTCTCTTTAGTTTGAGCAGCTTTATTTGTCCCCCACTCCCCTTTGATTCTGTTCTCCTGAGGGTTTTCACTCCTCCCTCAGTCAGCCCCCCCCCCCTGCCTCTCTGCAGAAGTTTTAGGTTGAGCTGCTTGCTTTGTCTGAGGGGAGCAAAAAGGGAAAAAAAGAAGAACACAGATATGAAAGTCCTTCGTGCACGGAGGATCCTGTTTTATTCTTTCTTGAACTGGAATTACTTAGAACAGAAGCACTGTTGTTTAAAAAGTGCCTTCAGTGGTGCGCATCTTTTAGCAGACTCCCGCTAACTCAGGATTGGTTGCCATTCTCTGGGCTTACATGCCCCCATATGACCCCTGACCCTTTAACGCAGACCTTCCCTTGTCATTCTCATCGCCCTGCAGCTCTGTGGTAGCTGCAGGAAGTGTCAGTGTCAGTTTCAGAGGAGAGTAGACAGGCCTCTGAGGGCGCTTTATGTAGACGTACTGCACCTAGGCCTACAGTGTGTCTGTCAGACGATTCATTAACTCTTCAAGTCTGGCATATCTGTGTTCCTAGATCACAGCCGACTTGAATGTGATTCCTGAAATCACAGAAATACTTCATGGGACTGTCTTAGAGAAGAAATGCATTGCGTGTCTTTGTTTATCGTGGCTTCAATAGCAGCTGTGTTTGTTTTGAGCGCTCAGTATTTGCACAAAACTCGATAAGGCTTGTAACTGAACTTTGAAGATTGACATGTCACGTGTGTTACCTCTCTAATGTTATTGTATATGAATGAGGGTTATTTAAAGAGAGTTTGCCTTCAAGATCATTCAAGGTTTGCATGTTTGTCCCTTTGCCCAAAGGTAATTAACATGGCAGCAGCTATTGTGTGGTAAATGTGTCAAAGAAAAGTATTTAAACTGTACAAACATGAGGGAAAAGAAAAACAATGTGACTCAGCTCTGACAGCGTTACATGAAGAGTGTACGAGCCCCATTCTGAGATCCCTTTCTCTCTTTCATTTCCTTTCTCTTTTGTTGATTCACTGTTGTTTCTCAGAAAACTTTTAATATACAGACTTTGGTGCTGGTCCATGTCGCAGAAATTGAGAGAATTGAGCCTGAGCCAGGGAATTAGCGCCTCACAATCTGTCTCCGTTCAGGCAGCATTTCATTCATTGCAAATTTTCTCTTGAATTCTTTGGCTCCAAGTTCAAGAGGTTTTGAAAAGAAGTTAGAGGAAGGAAAAGTCTGTTACGAAGTATTATGAAAGCATACATGCAAAGCTAAAGCTTCAGTAAAAGACAGTGTGGATGTGACTTTAAAATTGAAAATGCAGCACTACCCATGGGCGTTTGTAATCCCATTTCAGACCCCCCAGAATCGCATACAGAGAACTGAAAAGAAAGCACTTTAGCCTTTGTTTTAAATTATTGAAATATGCAAAACATTTTGAAGAAGGGACCAGGGAGATGCTGCCGAATGATAGAAAGGTTCAATCATTCCTTATCTTCTGAGTGTTCGATGAAACACTCCTCGGTTGTTTCAGCTGGTTGACCAGGTCTTCTATTAATTATGAACGCTTGAAGGAAATCTCAGTAACGACCATGTGCTTCAGAAGAGGCTCTTTGTTTTTCTCCAGCTGCTTTTCACCCGTTACCTGCTCATAGTTCACATGAATGGCTGTAGATAAATACAATCGTTCCCAAATGGTAACAATTGTTTTAACTTTATGTTCAAAGTAGATGGAAAGGAATTCACTTGACAAGATATGGAAATGTTAATGCAAATATTCATAATGCCATTAGAATGAAATAAGGATGAGGTTTGACAATGAAGAAGGGAAGAAAGGTCAAAGTGTAATTAAAGAGATTAACAGGGTATAAACGTGGTGATTTAGATGAATACATAAATGGTTCAAATTGCACCTGGAGGTGTCGACATTGACAGCGGCGGTGTTCAGGATAGCTGTCGGCTTCCAGCGGAGACAGAGCGGTTTCCACTGCGTTCTGCTGGAGAAGCTTATCTATCCGATTGCTCCTCAGCCTACGGAATATCTTTACAAAATAAACACAGCTGTTACTTTCTGCTATTTGTGATTATTTCTGACATATAAATGTTGTATATTCGGAACATTTTTATACATTTGGTTATCTGATTTATCTGTTTCTTTGTGGTGTTTGCGTTTGATTTCCAGTTTTGTTTTTGAATGAATTCTTGGCATACTTCACCACAAAAAGCCATGTGCATTTTAGAGAATCCGTGCGATTCTGTGTGAGCTTACAGCCGTACCTGCATCGCTGTTCGAGGTTAGCTTCATCACTTCAGACCAACTTGTACAGTCTATACTAGCACACACTCACTCCTCTAGGCCTTACTGTATATATGCGAGTGTTCAATATAACATGAGCTCTTTCAGCAATGTTCTAAAACAGCTTCAGAGCTCCAACATTACTGAAGGCCATCCAGTGTTCACAGGATAAAGGCGGGCTCAATGAAAATGCTCATGCTTTCTAACAGATGTAAAGATGGGGGTTCAGGGCCAAACATAGCAGGAGGTGGCCCACACACACACACACACACTTTACACAAGGTCACTTTTGTAACTGTGTCATACATACAAACATGACACAATGCCATTATGATGCTGAATGTTATCAAAGACTCGCAGTGACAAGTGGCAGTGAACCTTTGACTCCCGTTTAAATGCAGTTTGTGTGAGGAAATGAAGGAAGATTGATCATTACTTGGACTCGGTCCTCTTGTATTATTGACGCTCTTTTGCTTAAGTTTCGAGGGAATTAGCAAATGATAGAATGACGGAAGAACTATTGCACTGCTGTCTTCATGTTGGCTCTTCTGCCTGTGACTGGTGTTAGTTAAAGGACACTTATATACGGGGGACTGCCTGACCGAGGACACACACGTGACCGAGGACACACACATGACGGGAGGCTCCAGCAGAAGACGTCTGCTCTGCTTAAGCCAGAACTACAAATACAGACAGGCAGCAGTGTTTCATACGAGTTCTCCCAATACTGCTCAAGTCCAAGTGTACATAATGTAGTATTTGCTTGATGCTAAACAGACCAAGTTAGGCAAACTGTACCTGTACAATTGGAGCTTTTTGCATGTGTCTTTTTATAATGGACAGATGAGTTCTATTACAGTAACCATACAACATTTTAAAATCTGTTGCAGCCCGCATGACCGAGGCTGCAGTCCAGAAGGGATTCTGGTGTACCATACTCAAAGTTTCAAATGAAGGAGAAAAAAAAAAAAATCTGAAAAAACGATTGCACAGTTATCGAGTTAAAATACTTTTTTTGTAAATTGTCAACAGCACAAATATTTTGTATTGTTGTTTGTACCATTTTGTAAGAAAATGAAAAGAAAAGAAAAAATAGGGAAAGAGTCTGTTGTTTCGAGCGTGTGTTTATAGTGCCACTGCAATCTTGGTTTCCAAATACCGTACAGTATGCGCAGCCTTGCAGATCAACCTTGTAATATAGCTGCTGAGCTGGAGACCCCTGTCAGCACCATGTGTTATAAATAAAATGTCCCCTCCTTATAAGAACACTGCCTCCTGTCCTTTCTGTGCAGATTTCTGCCAGCAATGCTTTGTCTTTACACTTGTGTTATTTTTGAAGAGGTTCATTTTTTACCAGAAATGAAATGTCAAAGTGTCCCTGGTGGTCGGAGAACTTTTCCCAATGTTAAGTCATAGTTTAACTTTTCACAAAAACATATTGTTAGTTTTGGTTAAACATCTACCATTCATAAGTTTCATGCATACATTTCAAACTCCTGAATAAAAACCATATTGTGCAAAGTTCTGAAATGTTCCTAGTGTCTTCAGAAGCCTAAGCCTACTTGGAGCATTATGACATGAAAGGCTATGTGTAGTTTAAAGATGAACAGTTGTTGTTATGAAGTGAAAGTGTTAACTGGATTAAACTGTAAGAACACATCAGCTGAGGACCAGGCTCACGGTAGAAACTGAAGAAGCTGCACACATTTTGAGAAAACGTGATCAAACACTGTCAATACTTCAAGTTTGGACTTGGAAAGAAGTTTTCATAAGTACATATATGCACGCAAGAAACGTCACACATGCTGTGCGGACTTGAAGCTGGCATTCTTCTCATCAGGACACATTCCTTAATGCCCATGTCATGTGACAGAGTGCTAATTGAAGGATAAAGAGTGTTTCTCACGTCTAAGTGGTGTTTCTTGTTCTGCATAAACACACAATAATGAAGACCAGGAAATATTTTCACAATTCTTTATTCAAAGAATTTAAGATTATGATTTGCTTCTATTTGCGCTGTTTTAATATGTGGATAATTGAGTTTCGTATTCTAAATTAGTTTCAGTGCCAGTCATGAACAAACATAAGCTAAAATAATCAACACAATTAAGGCTGTTCATTTGTTAACCGTGCCTGTCATGGCCGTCTTCCAAGTGGAATAATGAAGCCTTTCGCAGAGAAAAGCACTCGGTATGAAAAAACACAGATGTGCGTTTTCTTTCTTTATTTTTCTCACTTTGGGACATTTTTCTTTGCTTATTACTGTATGATGTTTACTATGATATTTTTCCCTATAATAAGATATTATTATGGTGTAACATAGTTTGATCTTTATAGGACATACCATAGTAGGACAACTTTTAGTAAACTATACAAGGATTATTTATATACTATTACCTTTTTAACGGCCCAATATTATGGTTGTTGTTTTCCTAACGTTTTGTGGCTGTAACCTTTTTTTAAATGACATTGTAAGGTGTACTTAACCATGACTTTTGGTGACATTTCAATGACATACTCTACTAGGACTTTTGAAATAGCTTTATTAACAAATGACAATGTTAATGCTATACTAAAATGTACTATGTAGGCCTACTGTACTATGACTTTTCATTTACATTTTCGACATATTATACTAGGACTTTTTTTCCAAATGTAACGCATACTATATAAGGAGATATTTTTCAACATAGTATACTAAGAGCTTGTTTTCCACATACTATAATATGACTTTTTTTCGAATAATAATTTCGACATATAATTAAAAAATCACAGCAGTCAGCTTCACCCGATGAATTACTGCACATTATTCAGAAAGCCAAATGATGTCTCATTTCTGAGGCATCTCAAATCATCCTACTCCTTGATTATGTGGTCACGCAGTGCACCAATCAGCAGCTGACCTTTATCAGTCATAAACACAGCGGGGGGGGGGGGGGGGACAGGGTTCATGTGTACATCTTCAGCAATCATAGAGAAAGAGGGGTGATGTAGAGAAGATTGGTTATCAACAGATGTATGTCTCATTTGTGCAAAACATAGATTTTGAATCTTTTGGACCAAACAGTTATATATTTCAAACTTGGAGACTTACAGAGGCTGCAATGATTACACAAATCATCATGAAATGTAGTTAAAAGAGCTCAGTAGCATCATAAAACAGGCCAATGGAAGACAGAGACTCAATAAGTCCCCATACTGGAGACTGTAAACTCTGGAGAGCCTTTCTTGTGTGGAAATGAAGAAAATAGAACCGAGCGAGAGGGTACAGAAGGGATTTAAATGTAAGACATTTCACACCCAGCAATACAATAAGACATTTTTTTTTTCTTGCATGGGGTTTCTCAGCCTGGTTATTATACTTCTCCAATTCCCAATACTGTATCTTCAGATTCATATTTCTGATTTTAGTCATGAAAGCAAAACGTTTACTTTCCGCTAAGATCTCATAAATCAAACATGTCAGTGCACTTTTTGGCAAGCATTTAAGAGGAAATGAATCGTCTGGATGTGGGCTGCTTATGAAAAGATTTTATCAGAAGAATGTAAAAAACGCTTGTTAATATAGTTGAATGTGTTGATGCAACAACTCATGTGTTTTCTTCACCAAAGCACACACTCACCAGAGAGGATGTTAAAGCATCAGCTAATGCAGGAGCTCCATCAGGCAGCTTGGTGGAGGTAAGTACTGACAGACGGTCGGATCATGTTGGCTCTGTGTGTGTGCGTGTGCGTGTGCGTGTGCGTGTGCGTGTGCGTGTGTGATAGATAGCTACTCTCTGAATAGCTCTGGAGCGTAATATGATTTGGATGTACGAATGGAATCTAAATCTGATTTCAGGCAGTACTATGGGCCCAGAGCTTCACTCCTTTATCTCTGTCCCTCGCCAGCCGTAATGTGGTCAGCTGCATCTGTTCTCTCCGGGGTGTGGTCTCACTGTCCCGGGGGGGGAACATTATCGCTTCCAATCTCAGCTTTTAGATGCCTTTGTGCCTCTTTGAAATGACTCTCATCATATCATAACACCCATTCTACCTTCCGCTGCCATCCAAACCCGTGGTTCCTTAGAAAGCTCAGTGTGAGCGAATCTCTTTTCTTTTTTATGTGACCTGTGGAAAGCCGAGTGTAAACTTTCAGGATTGTTTTCCTGCGTGGTTTTGTGGTCCTCTTGACTGTTTGAACCCTCCTCTCATTTCTCTGGAGAACTCCCCCACTCCCCCCTCACAGTGCAGTTACTCTCTGAGAGGATTAGATGAGGAGTTCACTGCAGGGGCATCAGGCAATCTGCATACAATAGCCCACTACCACTGTGAATAAATCAACATTGATGTTAGACAATAAAGCCAATGCGGTACAGCTATTTGTTTATTCTTATTACACAGAGCGGGGCACTTTGGATCATTCAGAGTATAAATGCATTACTTGAAGAGGACTCAGAACACAGACCGCCCCTGCCATCGCTATTTCACACTGTGTGCTATGACTGGGCCAGAGGCGGTCCGGCAGTCCACTAAAGCAGCCATTAGATAGATATCCAATCAGACTTGGGCCATTCCCTCCAGCCATCAAAGAGGAAATGAAAGTCACTGATGGAGAATATGAGGAAATGGTGTGGATAGATGGATGACTGCTCTGACTGTGTCTACAGAGCTCCCCCAGGGGAAATGTATATATATTTATACCTGGCTAATGTTATATCACAACATCAGAAGAGGTAGGCTGCACACTTAGCACACCCACCAAGCTTATCCAAATACAGTACCATTTCCAATCTGAGATAATAAGATCATTTATCATCCAAGCTCATGGAAACAACTGCAAAATCAGTCTCATGAGTTCATATTAATGACTGAAGAACAGTAACTAAAAACTGCTAAAAACATGGATATCCATTGTTGGAATGTCATTTTTACATTTACCTCACATACTGTACTTTTTAAACACTCTAAATGTTCCTCTTTTATTGAAACAATACACACACATGCCTACAGTTAATGGAGGCCGTATATTCTCTTCTCCAGAATGGCCACAAAGCGAACTCTCAAAAGTGTATCCAACAAAAGTGTGGGAGGGCAGAATCTACAGTCCCTGTTCTGTTTTAAATGCTTTTAAGATAAGCTGAAGCTAATATGAAGCGGATGAGTTAGACCAATACAAATTGTAACTTCAGAGTAACAATGTTTTTGATATTAAAACGCCCAATCTGTGCCATTCTTTGCTGAGCCATGGCAGGATGACAGTAAGACAAAGTAGAAGGTTTATTGTCATAACATAATAACATATCTGATCCCAATCTAAATGGTGTATATTCTCATTAGCTTCATCTAAGTTTTAGAAATCATTTTTGCACACAATTAGGGCTGTGGATTTTGTCCATATCTCTTCAGGGCCAGTACAGACAGAAATAACAATTACGTTAACCAAAGACTTTGAATGCATGTGGGCATGTGAGAACTGTTTTGAGACAGTCTGAAAAACATGTAACACTGTCGTACTGTTGACTATACGTACTTAATGAATTTCACTTTATTTGTTTTATAGCTAGTCACAAATTAGTTTGCAGATTAACATTTTACACAGTCTACATACAACACTTCTCCCGCAGAATGAGTACGCTTTAATTTCAATCATTTTAAGAACATTTGGCCCTCTTTACTTGAATTGAAATAGAGCAGAGAGAAACAAAGTGAATATAAAAAGTCAGAGAAGTTTGAGGTGATTTTCTGTAAATACTTTGCACAATACATGGTCTCATAAACTGACGTATCTCTATACAATTTGTTGCATTTATCAAGTCAAACTATTTCAAAGAATACAACGTAATTAACATTTACTTCTGAGGAGTGAATTCGTTTTCACATCATGAACTTGAATTACTTCCGCCAAATAGTTTTCAGAAAAATACAGCAATTTCATAAAACGGAAAGCTTTTACAGAGTCTACAGTTTGGTAAATGCTGACCCTTTCCTTCAGCAGACACATAATAAGCAGCAGTTACTGGTGAGGTCAGTGACATTAACGTTATGGGAGGCTCTGGTCAAGTGCACAAAGGGACACAGCTCTTAATCTCCCCCAAGTGCATAACATAATGGTGATATTAGCTCTCCTAGCAACCGTGCAGTTAGTGTGTGTTTATGAGTTAGTTTTATCTGGGTCTGCATTATCAGAGCCGGAGCACTGTAGCCAAAATCAGAATCAGAAATCCTTCATTTGTCCCGCAAATGGCTAAGTATGCACACATTATTAATAACACAAAGATTAAAAG